GTTGAAATATTTGCTTAAAACACTACTAAATGTTGTTTTTAAATATTCCCAGGAACCCTGACCGGATGGGGCTTAACTTTGAAAGTAAAAGAGTTGGAGACTTCCGGTTTTTTGTAACATGTTCCTCTTTTAAAAGTAACGTTACCTCTCCAGGAGGAAAATTCAAGACAACGTAATTGTTGAGTTATCTCAAAATCTCCAGAAAAGTCCCCTTTCGGGCCGATCAAAAGTTTGCAACTTTAACTTTGCGGATTCCTGTACTCTGGTTGGCTGAATTGTGTCACGTGGTAGCTGCTTGAACATTGGAAAGCGCCACGCGTGCAAATCATGCTTGTTGTTGCGCGCGAGGTCAAGCCGTCTGTTTAAATTAAACCAACTCTAGTACCACCACCAGCCGGTAACTTTTCCTGGGTAAGAAGTAACCAATTAGGGCTACTAAGTGCCGAACACAAGGATATTTCGTATTCGGATCATATGCCTGCAGGCTGTCTGTCGCTTAAGACCATGGTCGCTCTTAACTGAGCGGTAAGTGACGTTAAGTGAGACCGTGAGCACCACTTCTTGCCAATTTGCTTTTGAATTACGGCCCAATCATGAAGTTAAACAGTACAAGTTGTGTTTTAACGGCAAAATACAGCGAATTCTAGCCCTTGAAAATTGTAGGTTTGGAAGATCAATACGGCTGCTTTAATTCTTAAAAGTCTTAAGTTAGAACGGCCAAAACACCCTACTCGGCGTCAACCAGCTGCACCCAGGAACCCTGACCGGATGGGGCTTAACTTTGAAAGTAAAAGAGTTGGAGACTTCCGGTTTTTTGTAACATGTTCCTCTTTTAAAAGTAACGTTACCTCTCCAGGAGGAAAATTCAAGACAACGTAATTGTTGAGTTATCTCAAAATCTCCAGAAAAGTCCCCTTTCGGGCCGATCAAAAGTTTGCAACTTTAACTTTGCGGATTCCTGTACTCTGGTTGGCTGAATTGTGTCACGTGGTAGCTGCTTGAACATTGGAAAGCGCCACGCGTGCAAATCATGCTTGTTGTTGCGCGCGAGGTCAAGCCGTCTGTTTAAATTAAACCAACTCTAGTACCACCACCAGCCGGTAACTTTTCCTGGGTAAGAAGTAACCAATTAGGGCTACTAAGTGCCGAACACAAGGATATTTCGTATTCGGATCATATGCCTGCAGGCTGTCTGTCGCTTAAGACCATGGTCGCTCTTAACTGAGCGGTAAGTGACGTTAAGTGAGACCGTGAGCACCACTTCTTGCCAATTTGCTTTTGAATTACGGCCCAATCATGAAGTTAAACAGTACAAGTTGTGTTTTAACGGCAAAATACAGCGAATTCTAGCCCTTGAAAATTGTAGGTTTGGAAGATCAATACGGCTGCTTTAATTCTTAAAAGTCTTAAGTTAGAACGGCCAAAACACCCTACTCGGCGTCAACCAGCTGCACCCAGGAACCCTGACCGGATGGGGCTTAACTTTGAAAGTAAAAGAGTTGGAGACTTATCCGGTTTTTTGTAACATGTTCCTCTTTTAAAAGTAACGTTACCTCTCCAGGAGGAAAATTCAAGACAACGTAATTGTTGAGTTATCTCAAAATCTCCAGAAAAGTCCCCTTTCGGGCCGATCAAAAGTTTGCAACTTTAACTTTGCGGATTCCTGTACTCTGGTTGGCTGAATTGTGTCACGTGGTAGCTGCTTGAACATTGGAAAGCGCCACGCGTGCAAATCATGCTTGTTGTTGCGCGCGAGGTCAAGCCGTCTGTTTAAATTAAACCAACTCTAGTACCACCACCAGCCGGTAACTTTTCCTGGGTTTATAAAACAAAACGACGGAGACACAGCACACAGATAAGAAAGGAGAGGAACAACACATCACACGGACGGAAACTGCTGCTGAGTTGACGAGTATCTGATTATATTAATTATGGGTCTCTTGTTCATTAAAATAAGTGTGATCATACTTCTAGAGTATATTGGGCTGACACAGTTGCTGCAAGGTTCAACATAAAAACTTAATATAAGTTTTACTAAACCATTTGCATTTATAAAAATTATAAAACTGCACTGACGCACTGTACTGTGTACGCAACATTGAACATACAATGTAGCTTAGATGTTAGACTAGCAGGTTTTTTTAACGTAATAACATATATAAAAAAATATAATAAAAATTATTCAAACAATATACACATAATATAGCTTGATACATGTTTCGTATCCAAATATCAGAGATCTTCGGCGGCGCGCGCTTCGCGCGCGAAAAGTGGCATGCAACGTATGTCAAAATATAGCAATGACCCTATATAAAATCTACCCTTTAAGAATTAAAAAAGTTTCCTAAACAATCAAAAATTACCCTTGGCCTTGTGGCTCCAAGTTAAGATCTAGACTGTTTATATCAACAATGTTTTTTCTCGCACCTCTGTCTCCACGGAGAGAAATCACTGTTGTTCTTAGGATTTCAAAGCGAAGGCGCTTTCTAATGTATCCTACAGCATCCGAGTACCTCTGGCCAGTGTGGTACTCCATTTTATATTACTGGCCAGCTTCTTAACCAGTTTTTCAGTTTCAGTAATTACATATATTATATTATTTTATTCTTTTGCTTTGGCTAATTTTTAAATATGAAATGCGCTGCATATATATCAAATAGCATGTCGAATACTGATTAATCTAAATATCAATACTGAATACAATATAGCACTATTGACTACTGAGCTGCACAGGTCATCAAATAATGCTTATCATCACCGCAGCCGCACCATTTTTTTGCATATGCAATGAGACCTCTAGGATCTCAAAAATGTGACACGCGAAGGTTCCTTCATTAGTTGCGGCATCGTGGTCTTCCAAATGCCATACGGCATACTTGCTACTTCAACTTACTATTATTTGGCTTTTATTGACAACTGAGTTTAATCTTGTCATACGTTGCATGACCCGCCACGCACGAGTGCGCGGCTCCCCCTGTATCGTCTGGACGACCTAGTGAAACGACCGTGGGTGTCACAACGTGATACAAGTTTAATCAAGTTCGTGATATAAGTAGCTGGTAACAAGTTCACGGAATTTGAAAGAAATTGTTGTTCCCAGCATAATGGTAATTTTGGCAAAGCACTTGGTATGCTGCTTACTGAACCTAGTGGATAGTAACCATTCAAGACAATACTGCAGAACAAAGTTCCTCATATAATATAGACATAGTTTATAAAATCTGTCATTGTATGGACGTCTGAATTGACAGAATCATGGGATAGTTTTTTCCTTACTACAGTTTCATGCAGGTAGCAACTGGAATCATAATTTTAATCCTGGACCCGTCCAATTTTTAATGCTTACCATCGATTTGGTCCTTAAATTTGTTTTTACTGATATTATTAGATCATTAGATCATTTAACTTGATATCAGTTATTTTGATATCATTTTACTTGATATTATTGTTTTACTCGATTAAATGTTTCCAGAAATACTTGAAATCCCGGCAAAATATACCGGCCCTGGCCAACAACCATTCCTGGCCAAAAAAAGGTCATCCCGGCTATTGTAGGTTTATAACCTATGAAGACGCACGCCGAGTTAGACTATTTTACAAGTATCACCCGTTAACCCGGCTATGGCCCGGCTAAATCTTGATTGTCGTTCACTGGTTTCATACCTGTCATTAACTATCTTAGACGCAATTCACACCCACCAATAGTTTTACTCATAAACATAGTCGACCATGAGTATCTTTTACAAACAAGTCATGTGTCTTATTTTATCTGTACACCTTCATACCTAAGTTCACTCCTGCTGATATAATTTGTCATCGTCCCTACAAATACACTTATCACTTCATGACCTTATCGTGGAAGTTTTCATTCATTCATCAAAGGGATTTCGTCATATAACAGTTCTGATTATTCTAAAATAATATCATTTATTCTAAAACAGTGCCGTTGATTCTGAAAGAATTATGGGAATTACATCTTGATTTTTTTAACCTTTTATCAATATTACCTCTACCCTTCTGTTCCACATAACTAAATTTACGTCTATTATTTTGTAACTCATCGCACATGTGATATATTCCTCTGATTCCTGTTCTCTGATTCTATAATCGCCAATTTTCCTCACGGGGAGGAAATGCTATTTTTATGAGACGGACATTTTGAAATAGGATGTTCCTATCTCTTTTACTTCCGGAGATTGACCCGAGCAGGTAAGCTTTCCTGGGTATGGCAGGGTGGCACCTGAAAATGTTTACTCTTGTATTTATATTGTATTATACTTAAGATAAACAATTCATAAGATCCAAATAAAAGCTCTTTCTTTGTATGCCATACAACCTACTTTTAAGAAGGAGTTATTCCAATACTCCGTTTTTATGGTGTCCACATGAGTTACTGTGACCAACATTGTTGTTAGTTTCCTGTATTCAAACTATGATATTTGTCTTGAGAATGTGATTCCGGCCAAATATGAATATCCATAGTGCCTTTGGCTGGTAGTTGACGCACCTTTCACAAACAAGAGCATTATGATCACATAGCAATCACATAGGAATTTTTAAAAGGGACCATTCTGAACTTGAAATATCAAGAGAGCGTTCTCCTTCTTGTTGACTGGTCTGTTAAAGAAGGATGAGATGTTTGACTTCTGAGCACAACCACGTATTGTGCAATTATTATTTTCTTGTCATGATTAGACCCTGTTTGTCACCAGCTGTTTGTCACCATCACCATAGCTTTCATCTTGTGTGTGTGTTTCACAGAAAACAGCAAAAGTTTCATATGTAAATGAGATGAATAAACTTCTTGAAGAGCTCGAGTACTTTTTGAAAGACATGATAGCTCTGTTCGATGAGTTATATGAATAATTGAAGATATGAATGATAAAATTGTATAGAATTTGTGATAATTTGAGATGCATTCACCTATGAGATGTTACTTTATTCATTGATAATTTATGTCATCCGGATTGTTTGTACCTAGAATTGAATTGATAAACAATTACATCTCAGATATGTTAATATTATGGCTACAGATGATAACTGTTGTTGTCGGAGATCATTGGGTCTCCAAATTTAAAGAAAAAGGTATGTTACTTTTACAAATTGTCTTTGTGTAACTAAAATTTCTCATTTTCAATGTTAGTTCAGATTTACCTTTCATCTGATTTGTAAGTAGTATTCCTTCTTTATGTCCTATGAGATAATAAAAAAGATGTAAGAAAACTATCGTCACTGTGTTGGCGAAATTTAGCGCTGATTGAAATCGTTCTCACTAAGACTGTTCTGCAAGTCAACACGTCTACATAGCCTTTTATACAAATGTCTAGACAGCCAAGATGCTAGCCCTTCACTGGCGTACTTTCTTTTACATCCTTTTGTTTTACCTGTCATCCTTTCATCTTATTGTCTACTGAATACATACGTTGATGACTAGGCCTTTTGTTGTTTTTATGGTGGACACATCAAAGTGCTAAAAGAATTGAAATATAACGTTCCCACACTCATTAGGGGGTTTCTCCTGACTCATGAGTACATTAAACTATACATTTACGTTTCATTAGATTTAATCTGGAAATGTCATTCTGTTGCCGGAACAGGTTCTGGAGAAGTAGAGCACCATTTTATTAAATCAATTTGGGTTCTGTGGAGTAATGTGCTGAGGAATGTAAAGGTAGTTTCACGTTAATTTGCACTGTCTAGAACCTCAATCTATTCGTGCATATTATAGACTATGACACTAATTGATTGATACGGCTCATCTCATTACGTAGAATCTATTGAGCTCTTCTGATGTTTATATCTAGAAATATTGGTGGGACTAGTTTGTTGGCACCAACTTCGTATAGTGACTAAAAATCAGTCAGAGGGGGAATCAGCCATACTGGAGTGTGTTTCGTTTATTTTGGATCTTTTTCCATATAAAAATGATCTAAAGTCTTCATAGTGAGTGTGCCAGTTTGCCAGCGAGTGTGCCAGTATTTTAGTGCCATGTAAAGCAAGTTCCGCTGTTACACGTTAAGACGAGGTGATATCCTGTCGCTGTGAAGAGTGTGGCTACTACAGTTGCTAATGCACACTCAACTAACATGTAGCATCCAGTGTTGCGCTCACCGCACACAAAGACAAAGTGTGTATGTGTGTGTGTGTGTGTGTGTGTGGTGTGTATCAAGCTTATTTTTATATTCTTTCCAGGCCACTACGTGGGAAAACTGGCACCAGCTTGACGGTCACATTTTCTCTCATTTTCTTTAAATTTTAAAACTGATTTTCGGTGAAATATTAAATATTTTAGGAGTATAAAGTATAGCGTGAGTAGTTGAAGGTTCACCGAACTTTATTTTATTTAACCGCCTTGAGTCACAAGATTTCCGAGCCGAACGAAATCATCGTTTATGAAGTTGGGAATTAAAAATACGGTTGACGTAAGCGGAATGATATTCAGATCGTCGTCTCTGCTTGTCAGACCAACGAAACTTGTTCGAAAGTGGAATATTCTGAGGCAAAGCTCCTTTTGGAAATTCCCTTCCTCCCTCTCTCATAATAATCATTACACTATCGAAAATAACGATTACAATATTCCTGTATCTGTCATATCCCATAGAACTACTCAATTACATAATTGCACGTATTGCCATGGGAAATTATCCTTATTGTCACTTATTCAATTAAACCTTGAATGAAAATCCTTCATAGTATTGTATTTAGTGGAATGTAATCTAGTGAGTCTACCACTCTATCCTCATTTCTTGGTATTTGTAAAGCTGGAAGGACTTACTAAAGTCCCGCATTGTGGGGCAATATACCCTCTAGCTGAGAAAGTGACAATATTACACTCCTTTGCGAAATCCCTCCAATCAGGATCTCAGATGGAATCCTGGCTAGCCAATGAAAACACTGTCCCGGGTCACGAGCCAATAACTGTACTGGGCTGTCAACCATCGGGAGAGTGTTTAATTATGTGCAATGAATAATGAGCATGTTGAAGTTGTGGCGTATAACAGTCATTCTGGGGGCGTCTGGAGAATTAAAGAATTATGAGGTCTTTGGAGTGGTACTGGGTCTCAATGACTATTCTACTGATCATAGCTAGAAACTGTTCCCTCTTATTACCTTCTTAAATATTGTTTTTGGGTTTAAAAGGACCAGTATTTTAGCTATTAGCTGACTCCTGTATTTCAGATTGCTACAGTATTTTAGCTATTAGCTGACTCCTGTATTTCAGATTGCTACAGTATTTTAGCTATTAGCTGACTCCTGTATGTCAGATTGCTACAGTATTTTAGCTATTAGCTGACTCCTGTATTTCAGATTGCTGCAGTATTTTAGCTATTAGCTGACTCCTGTATTTCAGATTGCTACAGATGTTCTAGATACGATTACGATAACGCTAATTTCTCCTCCCTTGTCTCCGTCTCACAAGATGAAATCGTCATCGGAGCCAAGTTAGTAATAATATTAATTATACTAGAACAATTTGATAATCATTTATTAATGAATCATCTTAAACTGATTTTACGGCGTATTTATCTGCATGACAACATCTGCAGTTTCACTAGAATGAGTTAATGATTGTTTGTTTACATGTTCTGCATTCTTGCATTTTTCCAGCAGGGATTCCACCGTTCCTACATACGACTTTGCTAATTCTGACGTTTTGTTCACGCTCATACGCTAACTAAACACTAAGCTCTCACAACATTGTTGAACTGAACTGAAGCATATAATTTACCATTTCGTCACTAAAAGTTATTAAAACGCCAGACGATCATGTGGTGGACTGCAATTCCGTCATTCACCATTAATTATTTTTCAGAAACACAGTTTACAAGATAGAGTTCGAGTATCAGAAAGTCACTCCTTTTGTCGACGAGGTAAGACCAACGCCACAATTACATTATCTTCTACAATACATTCTGACAGACTATTGTTTTACTTAAAATTTTGTTTTACTGTTATTACTTGGTGAGGATAACCATTTAACCAACGTGATTCGAGAGATTTCATCTTTGCTGGTGTCGAAATCTGGGCTCAAATTCTGAAGAATGCGTCTTTAAATTGTATACTAAACCACTCAACCCAACAAACCAGTTGTAATAGTCATGCTGTATTAAAATAGCACTACTGTGACCGTCCTGTCGTCAGTTGGTCTGCAAATTACGATGCCCTAGGGCTCATAGGAACTGGTCGTTCGTTCCGCTTTAAAAGACTTCCTCTTGGAATATGGGAAGTGAACACACCGAAGAACAATATACCGGTCAATTTATTTCATGGTCCAATGAGTTTAACACTTGATTTAACGTTCGTCTTGTTATTTAAATGGTTTGATAGATGAACGTTCAGGTATTAAGTAATTAGCACATTGCAGAGTCGTTCTAAACCACAGAACCTCATCAGAATTATAGTTCCTTTAATTCCACTTCGATACAGCTGGAAATGTAAGCGGGCCTCTTCAGCTCTTGTCGCAATAGTAAAGATTGCAGGCTGATCCTGAAGGTGTTGAAACAGGTTAGATAACCCTGTTTCAGGGCGAGTATCAGAGTCAGGACTATTAGAGGTGGGATCAGAGTACAGGAGCCCTGTTTCAGGGCGAGTATCAGAGTCAGGACTATTAGAGGTGGGATCAGAGTACAGGAGCCCTGTTTCAGGGCGAGTATCAGAGTCAGGACTATTAGAGGTGGGATCAGAGTACTGGAGCCCTGTTTCAGGGGTATCAGAGTCAGGACTATTAGAGGTGGGATCAGAGTACAGGAGCCCTGTTTCAGGGCGAGTATCAGAGTCAGGACTATTAGAGGTGGGATCAGAGTACAGGAGCCCTGTTTCAGGGCGAGTATCAGAGTCAGGACTATTAGAGGTGGGATCAGAGTACAGGAGCCCTGTTTCAGGGCGAGTATCAGAGTCAGGACTATTAGAGGTGGGATCAGAGTACAGGAGCCCTGTTTCAGGGCGAGTATCAGAGTCAGGACTATTAGAGGTGGGATCAGAGTACAGGAGCCCTGTTTCAGGGCGAGTATCAGAGTCAGGACTATTAGAGGTGGGATCAGAGTACAGGAGCCCTGTTTCAGGGGTATTAGAGTCAGGACTTTTAGAGGTGGGATCAGAGTACAGGAGCCCTGTTTCAGGGCGAGTATCAGAGTCAGGACTATTAGAGGTGGGATCAGAGTACAGGAGCCCTGTTTCAGGGGTATTAGAGTCAGGACTATTAGAGGTGGGATCAGAGTACAGGAGCATGGCAGCAGGTGTTCTAACAATTGTTCACTTATCCGATAATGTCCAACTTAGTATCGTTAGTAGTGCCATTAGAGTGAACAATGACATTGTTCTACTTGAGAGAGTGTGCGAGACACAGTTCATCAATCTTCAGACCTGTGCTAACTCTCGTCTGTTCGAATACTGTCAAAATAAAAACTAAGTAGGTTCACTAGACATGAGTATAATATAATGTATAATGGCCAGACTTTGATATTTTTCTTGAAAAAAGCAATTTTCCTCTTTGAGAGCATCAAAGATACCGCAATTCAAGAGGGTGATGTAGAGTCTTTCCTCTACCGCGCGGCAGTTTTTAAAGTCCATTTATTGGCAATTTACATGGAACCAAGCCAAACTATACCCTCTGGGCTAATTAGAGAGACATATTCTTAATTCAGTTAATTAAGTAAAGTGTCTACAATAAAATACATGATTATATATGATTATATTTAACGTACTTTAATTCGAAATTTCCACATTTCCTGATGCTACATGATTGAAATGCTCCATATCTCACCGGAAAATTCTTTACACACACTCACGAGCTATACAACATTTAGCAAGAACATATATTTTGAATACACTCCATCTGTGTTACAAGTTAAACAGTCTCTCCTCCGCTCAGTAAACCTTCTCTTTCTTAACTTCTCGTACACATGGCGTGCAGGATGTCACGTGTAACTCCTAAACCTCGGCCAGGTTCACCCGTACTTTCCGGGTTCTTCTTCTCATTCCTCGCATTCTTTAATTTGTCGCCAAGAAGTGCCATTTCCCGCCAAACAAACGCATGTTTACATTCTTCAGCGAGTTTCAGACACTGCGTATACGAGAGCGAGTGAGCATTGCTTGTTTTAGTTGTCCTGCACGTGACTTTACGTAGTGAGTTCTGGAACTTTCTGCCTTTCTCTGCAAAACCTGCTTAGTGAAATGTGTGGTGAACGGAGAGCACAGTTACCAGAAAACTACCAATCTTTAAATTCTAATTTCTGTTCGGTAGGAACTAGGGAGGGATAATGATATGTTTGGCAGTCAGCTCTCTTTCTCCCACAATTCCCGGCGTTCACAGCTGATCCGTTACCTGGGCTACTGGTTAATTCTCACCTCAAACCACGTGATATCCTGACTGAACATGTGCAGAGAATACTCTGCTCTGATTGGTCAGTTCTCTTGTTGTGTTAACGAGCGGCACTTGCTCCTTCAAAGAGCAGGATCTGTAAAAGCCGCGCATATCTGTAGTACCAAACATCTGTAGTACCCTCCATTTTGTATGTACATATTTTCTCTACACTGCCAACTACCACAAAACACACTGTACTTTTAGCGGGAATTTCCGCAGAATATCCAAGAAGCCTGATGGAATTCCACCATAACAATTATTAGTATCCGGATCTTCAATCCCCTCGTACAGGGAAAATAGGGATAATATCTACATCTCATAACCAATATCTCTATACAGGTACCAGTGAACAGTAACAGTGCGTACCAGAACTGCATAGACAGTGGCAGGACGGAACAGGACTGCCAGAACTATTACAAAGTCCTGGTTAAAATAACAGAAAATGATCTGATGTTGTGTGGAACTAGCTCATTCCAACCCATGTGCGATATCAGACACGTAAGTCCTCCACATTTTTTATCCCTGAATAACTCACCACATTTTATCACTCAAACTTAAATCTAGAGAGAACTCTTTCTTTTGTTTGACAGTTCAGCTAATATGGTGAAATCACCCTTGCTGGCGAAATAATTCTTCCTCATTTTAGAGAGTATTTTCTTGTCGAATTCTTTAAAATAATTCAGCCGAACATTATGCTGTTCCTTGTAGGTAATGTACCGTTAGTTTACCTTGTCCCGGGTCCCCTCCTCCCTCAATATCTAACCCCCCCCCCCTCAATCTCCCCCCCCCTCAATATCTACTCTCCCTAAAGAGTCTACATCGGTATTCAGTACTGTTTACCCTGTCTATCAAAACATTACACCACGCACCTCCTCAACTGTTTGTTTAGTAGCATTACTGTAGGAGCAACTACCATGACACCTTGAGCCAATCAGCGTTCTTTTCAAAATACAAGTTATCACTCCACCACAACTCTCAAATATTTACTACAAAAACCGCTAAGATTTCTCTCAATATCACTGAGTCCTACACATGGTGATTTCTACCACGAATTTCAGGTCCCCTAATAATAACATTATTAATATGATGTAATTAATATGATGTGAGAGTAAACAGAACCACCACCTCTCGTTCTACTTTGTTATAATACTTTGTAATTTTCAATTCTATTGTGTACAACTCATGTGAAATTACTAAATGTAATTGTTAAAATACATGCAAGCCTCCCCTCCCTCATTCCCTCATTCCCTCTCAAATGTGGTGTGGGAGATGACCACAACAGCTCTTTGTTTCTGCTTACTATCCGGCCAATGTCACACTGTCTCGCTCATTTCACAGCTACTTCTCAAATCTCAAGAAAATGAGGCGCGGTTCTGGGCCTCCATTATCTCCGACCACTGACATACCACGCGTGGTTTGACCTCCCGTTTGTCCCAAGCACCGCTTAACAAGTAAACACACTGTCCCACATTAGTTCCCCTGATGTGTGCCACTTCCCCTGATATTGGTTATCAGAATGTATTGGACTCTGATCTGATCCTAATGACAAATAATGGTTGAGTTGGTGGACTTGGTGGTGGTTAGCTTGGTCAGGATGACAGCTCTAAGCTGGCGTCTTAACACTGGTTGGTTAGATGGTGGTAGCAGTGTAATTGCTATTAGTGGTGTTTCACTGTGTGTGTCAAGGTTTAACCACACTCGTGAGAGGGAGCCTACCTTCAATAATGATCTCACATATCAGAGTTTAATGAAACTTATAACCATCTTATCCCAGTATTTCAATTTTGCAATGTGGGATTACATAATGCATTTAAGTACGCACCACAGATTTGGCTTCTGGTTAAATGGTAACTTAAACGTTCGCGCAAAATATCAAAGCAACGACCGTCAGAGTTTTATGATTAAACTATAAAGATTCCAATAACCTGGTAACTATTTATATTTTCAGCTGTCCGATCTGAACTACAAGTCACGCGATCACGTGTTGTCAGGAGACACGATCTGCCCATCTGATCCAAACACCGCTACCTCTGTCATCGTCCTCCAATCTGGTGTGTTTCAAGTTCACGTGGTTTTATTTTATTACGAAATTGCTCTTCTATTTTGAGCAAAAATAGATACCGTCAAGCCTTACTATTTTAATGGTGTGATTTTGAAGCGACTGATAGCCCTTCAGTATCTGTTATTATAATATTGTAAGGTGGTTTAAGGGACGTGATTTGTTGCTGATCTTGCAATAATCCATCCATCTCCGACTATATTTAAGTAAACATATTTAAATTTAAAACTCCTCAGGCTATTTCGTAATAACCCATAAATTATGTACCACCTTGATCTCTTTAAGTTCCTAATTAAAACTGCGTTTAATGAAATTTATAGAAACAACAGAGTGGTTTTCCATTAAAATCCAATCACTGTGCCTTTAGTGGCAATGGAATTTTAGTCAGGTCTGACAGCGTCCAAATGAGATATTTGGAATACCATCATGCGTTTCATGGTTTCAGTGTTTTATAATATTTTATATTACAACACATAGTTTTATACGCACAGTGTAAACTAGATGCTCAGAGCTCCTGCCCAGGATCGTAGCAAATTAGCCGAAACAAAACCACAAATCACCTCCACTTTCAGCCCAATTTCAGCAGACAATGTCACTAATAACTGTGTCTCTCACAGATCGGACTGTGGGCTTTAGCGCCACGTGTATTGACGAGTGTAACGATTACCAAATCTCCAGAATTAACCTTCTTGCTGGCTCCTTATCTTTCAACGGCAGGACTATGAGAACTACTGGTTAGTTTCACTTTCGTTATTCTTTACTTCCACTTTCACTATCAATTTACTTTTTTTACTGATAAATAAGATGTGGCGTGACTTTGGAAAGCTACAATTTTTAAAATATCTTTAGAAAGCCAAGAACTTCTGTTGTCGAACAAGATTCTTTAAATACGTGGTTTTTCTGCACTACTACCGGGCACAGTATTAAAAAGAATGTGGTAAAAATTGATCACTGTACTAATTCACACTGAATCATGTAGACCACCAGTCATTGGACACATTGCATCATTGTTAATCACTAACCTTGTTAACTGTGTTAACTGATGCAATCTCTGATTGGTAGGATTTGCTCGTGCTGTCCTCTGATTGGTTGAGAGTGTATCACGTGGTTTCGAGTATTTACTCACTGCGAACACTGACAGTATTTTAGCTTACTACTAAGCAGCTGACAACTTCTCTATATCTAATACAGTCAAGAACACTGATCAGTTAAATTCAGGCCAAAGTTTGAAAAACCTCCTAAATTTGTTCTCAGATCAAATTCTTAAAAATATTAAAATCGAAGTTAAACTTAACTTCCAAAATCCCGCTCTATGATACTACAATAAGCTATAAATATTAGATACGTCTCATTTTCCTAACTTTAACCCCACTTGAAGAGCGCATAACCTCACTACTGTACGTGTTCCTCATATTTCACACCGGCCAGTGACATGCTCACCAAAACCTGGTCTCACTGGTTTTCATGAGGTTTAAAACTCTCACCTCTTTTATAGCCCTCTCCTCCTTATCACCACTCTATCTGATCTGTGGTTGGTCGGTAGTTAGTCACGTGATTTCACCTAATCCTCCTCCAGACTGGTTGAACAGACCCACTTTCGTTTACTCGTTTGAAGAGGGTGAATATGTCTACTTCTTGTTCTACGAGACTGCTATAGAAGTGAGGACGGAACAGGTCTACAGCCGAGTGGCCAGGATTTGTAAAAATGATATTGGGAGTGGCCAGGAATACTTCAGCAACTACTTCTTATCTTACAGGTTAGTTGCTTTAAGCCAGGGACTTAGCGACGATTTTTATTCGCCAGTTTCTTTCTGTAGTATGAATTACTTAACCTGAATTTCGCTCCAACTTTAAGTATGCTATATGTTCAAAATCCAAATATATCTGAATTGTAAAGAGACAGTGTCTACTCTTATGTCTAGTAATGATGTAATGATGTAATATACTTTGTTCCGTACTCTATTTAAACGGACACTACAACGTTAGACAAAGCTCATTACTGCGTCATTCGTCACGTTTGAACGCATTTAAAACAGTGTGAAAATGGATAGTTCGACCTCTTAAATAATATGTTCCAGTACATTCGGTCTTTGAAGTTACACCATCAAGAACAATAGTAGTAGATATATGTATTAGTAAAGTATGGAGCAGCACTAAATGATGATATGTCTGATGAGGGAATGGTTTATTAGATGGGAGAGTGTGATACTGCTTTACAGAGGGTTACACTTTAGTAAAACTATGAAACAAGCGTTTATCCCCGTCTTTAAAGACTTTTGTCAGAACAGGGTTGGTATATTTGTAAATAAACAACATTTATACTTTTAGGGGGTGTTAGTTTCCTGTTAACATCCTTACTAAGCTTGTTGTGGGCTGATATGCTACAAAGGGTGAAAGGGCAGCTAGGGCGGGAGTACCGGGTAGCAATAGAAAGTTCTTTTGTTTGGGAGGAACAAACAAACGGTTAATTGTTGAAAAGAGCAGCTTTTTTGGGGAATTTGGTAATGTTTCAAGGATAAAAGTGAAGTTTAGATGATAGGTCAAGTAACGTGACTATCAATGGGCTTGTAGTTGTATATAACTGGTATTCAATGAGTAAGATTAAAAGCATATTTCCTTCAAGTGTAGTAAATGGTACCCAATTTTATTGATAAAATTGCAGTTATTATTATATAATAACCGTATCCTTTGAAGCGTTTTCAGTCAAACGAATACTTGAGCAATTTCCTACATACTAGAGAGTGTTTATTTTCCACATGACGTGTTAACAAGTAGTCGTTACCTTTGATCTCAGCCATGTCACGGGCTAGTTGTCATGGGCATGTTTAGATAGATCCCCGCTCCAATGGTTGCAATGATTTCTTTGAGCTTCAAGCGATGTGCCCAGCAGTATATTGTATAAGCTATCAGGAAATATTCTGAAATAACTGGTTCGCCATCAACAATCACCTTCAATCGTTCTTAATAGAATTAATACTGAGGACTGACTTCGTTTCTTGTAATATTATAAAAACATAATTCTTTATCACCCACACATCATTAAACTGTTCTGTTTCAGTAAAGCCCGGATATACTGCACCAGCAACAAGCCAGGAGAACCTCCGTTTGACCACAATGAAGTGGGGGGAGCGTTCTACAAAGATAGGATCCTCTACGCCGTATTTAGTGGTCAGAGGTACGTACCATAATATCTCCTTTTATTACAGTGGTCAGAGTGTTCCAGTGGGTGTCAAGGTTGTTAATCAAATCTGCAACTTTTAAAAGTGGACAGCAGTCAGTCTGACTGTGTTTTTTGTGGCGGTGTAACAGAAATCTCGTGCACTTTTTGCCAACCAGTTCAAATGATCAATGAGACAATGACTCATTGCGAATCATGTGTGATAGTGTTAAAATGCAGTTGGGAACGGGGAACAGCTGGCCATCAGTAATGTGAAGTGTTTTCTTCATAATAAACTTTGTTCTGTTCAAAAGATGACCACCAACGTTAAATAGTCTGTTTTCACTGCCGACATCACATCAAAATTAACCAGGAAATATTGTCTGGAAAATACCGGATGTGAATAAGTGTCTACATTTTTGAGAATTAAATAAACCTCTTGATGAAGGAGTTCCTATAAATCATCTCCAGATATACACCATTACACTGTACACTACTACACTAATTGGTATTAATGTTAATTAACCAATGATTGGTACACTACAATTAGACTAGGATCTGACCCCTCAGGACTGTTAGGTCTACAGAGACCGGTACTTGATAGCACTTCTACAGTTCTACTGTCAATTCATTGTTCAGTCCATCCTAATTAGATGATATCAGGTGTAATCAGGTTTTTGTTAAGATTCATCATGAATTCAACTAACACCATGTTCATCAGATCACACTTGCTAAGTGTTTTTATCACCAGAAATTAAGTTTTTCATTATTGGTAAGTATTGAAATAACTGTCTGCGAATTAAGATCACTGCTTTTATTATACTTACAGCAAGCCCTTATTTATGATTATAAGGGATTTAAGATCTGAACTCTCCTCCAGAGTTACAGTCCAACACTAGTGGGTATATTCCAGAGTTACAGTCTGTTAGATCTCTGTTCGCTCAGTGCATCCCATCCTAACAGAGGTACTCCAATAACAGTTCACGATAATGACCACCTCTAACTACCGTATCAGTTTCACTCTCAGTATCTCCACCTCAGAGGTGAGGAGCATTTTAATATATCATCAGTTCAGCTCCTGTCACCACAAATTAAATGTGCTCCGCACCAAACGGTCAGATTCACCGTAGTGGAAAATGATGTGGGTATTCATTATAACATTATCTGGCTGGCGGCAAAAGTCCCCTTAACTCGATCAGGGCAAAGAGATCAGGTCAGGTAGTAAAACTGATTTGTGACCTTGAAAATCACTGAACACCAGTAGTGGGTAGGTCACTAGTCGGCCAAAAACAGAGGGTGTGCACTGTGCAGGCCCTTTGTGTGGTTTTACTGGAATTAATATCGAATTATCATCAATAATGTGATTAGTGGGCGGAACTGTTAAAGTCAAATTATGAGTCAACTTGTCTCATGTTTCACACAGATTGTAAGTGTAGTTTAATCCTCATGATACTGATTACCAGGATATCAAGTTTTAATTTATTGACAGCATGTCTCTGTAGTTTCAGGGCGTGGAAGTGATTATCACAATTGACCGCAACACTTCGGCCCAGTCGAGGGTCACTGGTGTAATTGTAGTAATTCTCTTGTCAGAACTTAGAGATCACCATTCTTATCGCATTTCTCCAACTGATTTGTCTGCTGAGAAAAGCTGAGAGTAACTGGTTGTTGGGCTGAACCCTGAGGCTTGTTTGCCAAGGGCCTGATATGTAGCACAGGGATGATAAACTGAGCACAGAGTTCATATCAATAACGTGCTACCTAGCAAGGAGCAACAAATGAGTTGTCTGTAAAGCACACAGGTAGTATCACCGTGTAGTAGCACACAGGTGATACTACGTCATCTGGTTTATCTATACTGGTAGTTGAAGTGCGGAATGAAATGAAGGTGCTAATTTGTCTATTATCAATAGGTACTAGGTAGTATTATAGGTGTAGTATATCTGCCTATTATTCAGACAAAAGGCTCGAGATCTCTACTTTTGCACTTCAATATGAATGTAGCTATAACTCTAGAGTTCGTTAGTTCGGTTACACTTTACACTTTTACCACATCCAACCTCGACCGAGAGGGGAGCGTGGGACCTAGAGGGACCTAGTGCTCTCCACCTTTTCAAATGTTTACAGTTGAGCTGGCATATTATGTGGAATATGTAAATGTGACAATTTGGCACTAATTGTTCATAGCTAATGATTTTATTGTTCTGCGTCTAAAGAAGACCCTTAACTCAAATTGTAAACAAGCACATGTGTGTGGCTTTGTTGTCAAAACGATTGAAATCATCCGACAAGAGGCTCCCAAACAAACTCTCATAAATTATGGGTTCTGTACATTTTCAAACAATTCAACCAATTCCTAATTACCTAATTACTTAACCAGAATGTTTCAGGAACGTACGGACGGGGAGTATTCTCTGTTCTTATCAGATAAAAGATATAGACGCAGTCTTCAGTGGTCCTTATCTCTCTTACGATAATACTGACAGAGAGTGGGTCACTGCTGATAACCAGCCATTCTCGGTTAGTTTACCACATTTTTACAAACTTGAAACCTTTTTGTAGCCCTAGAATTATATAACCGTATAACACTTTATTTCATTTAAATGATGAAGTTTTACCATTACATAGATAAACTTCAAAGCCATATTCCAATATTCATAGCAAGATGAAAGATGCTTACCTCGTAAAAACTATCCTCCTAATAAGTTATCCTGAGAAGGACTCTCTCTAGTGTTGAATATCATTTAACGGTTAGAGCTTCCGTATAAACGCCGGACCCTTTGAACCCCTTTGATTTGTTACTAGCCGATGTTTTACGGCTAATTGGATATGAAAATATGGGTTAATATGATTTATGTGAACCTAACATCCCTTCATTTCATAAGAAAACATGCGCATTAACCTTCAATGAATACATCATTTTTGGAGAAGTAATACGGTCTGGTTTTATAGTCCGATGATGTAGTTTAAAGTAGTGTAGGAGCAGAAACATCACCACAAGATTAGCAGTGAGCTATAAATAGAGATATCCGCACTTAGCTAGAGGAAATGAGTAATGACCAATGTGAATGACAAATGGTTTAGGTGATTGTGCTAGCTTCTATTATCAGTGTTAACATCAGGGACATTCACCTACAATTATAAGTTATGTGTTCCTTTTATTTTTTATTTGTTAATAATAATATATGTTGATAACTCTGGTTTTATAGAGGGTCAACCGGTTGAATCTTTATTTTCAGCTATTTCATCATTTTCATTTATCTCCACTATAAAAACCTCACAAAAATCATCCCTCATCATTAAAATATTGCTGTGCAATAATTATTTCTTTCATTATTCGTGTAAACATAGTTACGTAGTGGTACTAGAGGTTGTAACAATATGAACAGTGGTAAATGTGCTATTCTATTTACTCCCAACAACAACATTTAAACTTAAATGTAACACACGACATCCACACTAGGGTCGTTAGTGAGCTAATTAGGGTAATTATTAGTGGTAAGATGTGAATTTGGTGCAATTTAACCCCCACTCCCGGATCTATCCGACCCCCCATCTTATGGAGCTTATCCTGCAAAAAAGTAAACTTTACCCTGGCCGAGTTTTCAGGAAACATTATGGGCTTGATAGCTGGGTCACGTGATCTGCATCCTGTGTTCTGATTGGTTGATTTCAATATTCTTAAAATGCTATTGGCTGTAAGAACTCTCAGTAAGGCAAATAATATTTAACTGTTGTAACGAGGATTATTTGCAAGGGGCCCCCATTGGGTCTGGATGATAATCTGCGGACTAAAATGTGCAGCTTGAACACTGGTTACCGCTACCTTAGAGGATGCTCTTACGTAACATTAATACAAATTAAATCTCGATTAGTTGTCCTCCTGGGATCTGCAGTAGATATTGGGATTACGTCTGGACTACAGTTGAGTCGGACTGATTTTATATGACTGAGACTAAGGTCCCTCCGGATATTATGATTTGGTGGAAGCCATCTTAGGCCCATCAATCTTACGAATTAAGTACTATTTATCATACCAGTATAAGCTGATCAGTAATGCAGAGATACAGTTTAGCTTCGAAACTACCAAGGTTCTTCGTGTTTGTTCTGGCATATAACACAAGGCAAACATGTAAATTATGCTCAGTAATCCTTGTTAAACTATGAGGGGTAATTTCCATTGTACTGTCACAAAATTAAACATGGATCTGTTTCTTAAGATTTAATACATATAGTAATTCAAGATCTAAATGTCTGCACGTTTAGGCTCTCCTGCGTTAAAGTCAGTTAGTGAACACTGAACATAGATCCGGAGGAATTTACTCAACGTAGGAATTGAGAAATAAAACGTCTGGGATCCATGGATTGTACGATATCTGTGAGAGAGGGTACAAGTGAGATAGTGGTTTTATTTCACTAGTCTAACAGTTCTGGGATAATTAAGTAAATGGCAATTTGAGTAATCTCGTGTACTATGAGCTAATTAAACTGGACTAGTTGCCAGCTACACAGAATGACAGCTAAGTGCTGGGCTCAGCTCTTGTATCATGGCTCCAACCAATTTCAAATGAATTCCAGAGTCCAGCGAGATGCCATTAAAATTTCTGTTGCCCTATTTTTCAGGACATTAAGAGCTCAACAGCCATTCCCTGCTTGCCGGCCATTACTCAAGGCTGGGCAGTTAGAAGCCTGAAGGGGTTAAAAGGTTCCCACCTCTCTTGCTAATGAGATATCTCTGGTTAATAGGGACCTAGCCCTATTGTTCAGGATATTCTCTACTAGATAGTATCTTTAATTGGATGTTTGACAGGTAAACAGAGACAATTAGGCTAATAGGCAACAGTCTCTTTTATTGGGCTCATTGGTTTTGCTGATTGGTTACATTACAATTTACACTGTGGTTTGTTTGTTACCACTTGTAAAAGTAGTGACTTATCAATTGGACAACCAATCAACAACGTCTAAAGTGTAAAAAAAGTGTGTAAATTTGTAAAATCGGTTCTATAATTACCAAAATGACTTGAGGTGATTTTACTTCTAGACTCTAGAAGAAAAAGACTCGAGCACATTTGTCGAATTGAGTTTCATACATATTTTAACGACAAATGGAGTGTGAAATTAAATTGTTATCTGTACGCCGTAATGCTGAGTTCGACCATTTATCTGACACCGACTTTCGTAATATTGTTTTATTATAAGTTAATAAAGATCCTGATGTCACATGACGTTGCTATTCAAATAGTAGCTACTTAGGCCCTAGTGCTTGTCCAGAAACATGACCTGGCCACAAGAATCCTTTCAGCTGTGAAAGAATCTGCGTTGGATTGAAATTCGGTGCTGAAGAAAGCCCGGAGGTAGGACACGAATCTTGGTCACGTGCCAGATCTTGGTCACGTGCCCTTCAGATAAACGGTTTTTGCTTTTATTGAGTGCAGCAACCTATGGATCAGCCTGGATGTATCATCGTGCTTCATATTTAGCAGATTTGAAACGTGTTATTCAGTTCAGGAGCGTGTATAAAGAGATTTTAGAACTTAAATCTCGGAGGAGAGAAATTTACCGACCTTCAATCTTCACTGAGAGCAGTAAAAGTTTAAATGCTTTTTTAGCTAGCTGAGATCTTTAGATGGCGATAATTGAAGTTCGAAATGGTCAGGCACTCTAACTCGAATTTAAAATGTGTTATTACTTCACAAATGTACATTAACATTCCACGGACCATTTATCTTCTCTTGGACTCTTGGCTGTTCTATTAATAAAATAAGTACGAATCAGTGTGCTTCGGTGCGTATCAGAATCGAGAAGGAAGATACGTTGGCTTTAATAATCAGCTAATGTCAAATCATAAGTGGGCATAGTTACTGCGATTATAGAATATAATCGTCCATCGGTCACGATCGTGTACTACTACAGCTAGATATTAACCTGTACAATTCTAGCCTTACTGTATACTGCAAAAGTGCAAAACGCCTGAGACTCTCAGACTTTAACTGCAGTAGTTTTCTCTCCAGTGAAAATAGACAAAGAATTTATTCAACTATTCAAGTGGTTGAAGTAGTATTGGTTGAATACTTTAATTCCAACTTCTAGGTGGCGGACAATTAAATGCTTCCAAAACTCTCTGCGCTTTACTGGTCAGTTTAGACTCCTCTCTAGAGCTGCTCTCTGCACACATTATGTCACTGTTTGTGGAGAAGATGATTTGAGGGGAGGATACAGGTGGTATCAGTCTGGAATATGTCTACAGTTGCCGGATGTGAAGAGCACAGTATGAAGCAGATTGACCCTTGTTAAATCAAGATAAGGAGATAACCTGACCAAACCTGTCATCGGTTCCACCAAACTCTAACTGCAAGCACTTAATAGTGACGGGAGATATCGGGAGGATCACAGTAACCACACTCAGACTCTCCTGTGGTTTTCTCAACATATTTGACAGGTTCAATCACGTGGGAGGCCGCGGCTTTTTGATTGGTTGCCTAGCGACGAGCTGTGTTGCCACTGGCTGAGGACGTAGCACGTGTGAGAAACATGGCACGTGGCCCCGGAAATGCAGCGACCATTAAATACTCTTGTTCAAAATGGTCTTGTTCGCTCTTAACCCTAGGAAGCTTGTCAAGAGGTCAGGTAGGGCGCTGCGTGTACCGAGTGTTATAGTTTACACACTACACAGCAATGGGTTTATAATCCAGACTCTCTTCATATTCTGAATATCGTATATGAAATAAATTTTTCGTGCACATACAGAATATATATTATATATATAATATATATATAGTATAAGAATATCGTGTATAAAACTCTCACCTTCAGTAAATAACCCCTGAACAAAACCATCTAAAGCTCCACCACAGGTCTTTCGCGCTACCGAGCGAGCCATCAATGCGCCCTTGATCGAGAAATATTCACATAAATGCGAAAATTTTCAATGTCGAAAACAGGGCTCGGGTCAGGCAGTCTGTGACTTTACTGGTGGCCGAGTCTTGACAAAACCATCTCTCTTTTTCCACTTGCCCCGAACACAGACCTGCGTCTCCAAGCATTCACAATATTTACATATCACGATATATGTTCCTTCTGGTCATCCTTGCAACTTGGCACTGGTCCACACATCGACTAGCCAATCTTAACTCATGCATCTAAGGGAACACAACATGTACAGCGACATGTAAGACGTTTTCGTGGCACTAAATCAGCCAATCAAAGTTCGGGAACGCGCACACGTGATCTGTTTTGTTATCAACTCCTTTGTTAAATACACCCGCGACACAGACGATACGAGATATCGCTAGTTATGCGGTTTTAAATGGCGAGATTATATCTCCAAACTTTAAATGAGGAAGCATTGTGCGAATTTTTGACAAGGGAAGGGCTGCATTCTTAGTGTTTGTAGTACTTAACAACCACCGCTCTTACATTGTCCGCTGCTTTAAATCTTGCACGGCGTTAGAGACTGAAATATTGTCTAGGTACGGCTGTTTAAAATAACGGGCAAATAGATGAAAATGAAACTTCTCATGCAAATTCGGTTGAGGTTAATTATTATGCGAGGTAGAAAGGTCTAGAAGTGGTTTACAGTAGCAACATTATTTCAACATTATAACATTTCAGTGTTCGAACAAGAAGTCTATAAACGTAGCAGCAACCCAGACCATGATGGAACGGGCAATCTCTCAGAGCGAACCTCTCTACTATACTCAAACTGAAACTAGGTACACTTTTTCATATTTTCTTCGAATGTTTTAAGTAAATAACTTTAAATACTTCCGGAGTTTTATGGTTATTTTTAGAGGTCTACAAGGTCAGTTGCTAGATTTCTCAGTTTTAATTTACAGCAGATGCTCTTAACGCCAGATGGTCAGAGCCGTGATCTTGTCAACAGGTTATTTCTCACTTCAAGTTAGAAAGATTACCGTTGTTTGATCAAGAGTTGGCTCCCATATAATTCTCACACCACATACTTGTGGTCTTTGAGGAGACACATTCTCAACTCTGTTGCGGCTGAGGGTACATTTTACCAACTATCTGGTTTCTGAGGGCACATTTTACCAACTATCTGGTTTCTGGGGGTACATTTTACCAACTATCTGGTTTCTGAGGGCACATTTTACCAACTATCTGGTTTCTGGGGGTACATTTTACCAACTATCTGGTTTCTGGGGGTACATTTTACCAACTATCTGGTTTCTGAGGGCACATTTTACCAACTTTCTGGTTTCTGGGGGTACATTTTACCAACTATCTGGTTTCTGGGGGTACATTTTACCAACTATCTGGTTTCTGGGGGTACATTTTACCAACTATCTGGTTTCTGGGGGTACATTTGACCAACTATCTGGTTTCTGGGGGTACATTTTACCAACTATCTGGTTTCTGGGGGTACATTTGACCAACTATCTGGTTTCTGGGGGTACATTTTACCAACTATCTGGTTTCTGAGGGCACATTTTACCAACTATCTGGTTTCTGGGGGCACATTTTACCAACTATCTGGTTTCTGGGGGTACATTTTACCAACTATCTGGTTTCTGGGGGTACATTTTACCAACTATCTGGTTTCTGGGGGTACATTTTACCAACTATCTGGTTTCTGGGGGTACATTTTCCCAACTATCTGGTTTCTGAGGGCACACTGCCGCATTTTGCAATATTACAAACAGCTTAATGGGATTTGTGCAATGAATTGCCGAGCTTGGTATCAAATAACGCGCACCAGCTGTTCTTTTGTGTGAAAACCAACCAACTGTGTCCCAAGACTATGGAGACTAGAACTCATGTTAATCATCTGTCGAAAAACGGTTCACTGAACCTGATCTGTGATGTTATTAGAGCGATGACAGGATCTGAAGTTATCACATTAATTTTAATGAATTTGATTGTGGACCCAGGTAAAGTCATCTCTGATTCTACTGGATGGAAAATCTTTATTTTATCATGCCATGCTGCAGTCATCCAAATTTTGACCAGCAATTTAGAAAAATATGTGATATGACGGATCATGAAATTTATGTTTGTCTTTCGGCTAGCCGAGTTCCAGCGTCTAGGCGAATACATGGAAGTCGGATATTTGAGTGGTCCCATTTAACCCGACTGAGCTGATACAATTCCCGATCATCGTTCCCAATTACAAGACTATTACTATAATCGGTAGGCACACTTCAAAAGATCAGTCCCCTGCCCTTCTGATTTAAGTTCTGTTATTTTAACTTGATTGAAAGCTGTCTGCCGGTTCCCTCCTCGCTATTGGTCAAGATCGTGTCACGTGGTCTCACACGTTATTATCTATTGGCTGAGCTGTGATGTACAATTAAAACTCCAGTCTGATATTACTATCCAGCATGCACTTTGTCGAATAGTGCTGAAGAGCACACGCTCCTCAGGCAGCTCTGGACAAACTGCTGGAATTTAGCTTGATAACCGCAACTCCAGTCAGCATGAACAGTTTGAGAGTGCAAGGTTAGCTCTCTACACTGCACATTACAAGACAGCTTCATCCTGTAATATCACGTGACCTGAACATCCCTGTTGTCTGATCAGTTTCAGAGATCAAGATGGGAATTTCAGGGAGGTTAATATAAGAGATGGTTGATAACATTCTGATAAAGCTAACTCAGACGTACTGAATTAACATTTGCACAGGTTGACAAGTGTAGCAGTGATCACTAAGAGAGTTGGAGACAGAGACTACACTATCATCTACGCTGGATCAGGTAACTAGAGTTAACTTTTTAACTACTTTATTAACCTCTCTCTAGACTGACTAATCAAACTGAATATTTCCTTGTTCGCCCAGCACCACCTGATTCTTAAGTATTAATAAAACGGCTCGTTTAAAACGACACTTGTTATTATCAGGGGTGTAGGGGCACCACTGGTTATTGTATGACTGGTCTCGGTATAGCCGTTCATTTTGAAATAATTTTCGGGCAAATTAACCTGTTAAAATGTTTCCACTCTACAACGCCCCGGGCTAATCTTTTATTGTCCGTATCGAAATTAACCATTATTAGGGCTTCTCATTCAGAGCGTGACCAAATTAACTTAAATTAAATTGAACGATATTCCAGTCTGAATATCGTCTAAAAGTAGAAACTTTGGAGCCAAGGCCAGTTACTCGTGGTTTACCATGGTTTCTTCTCAGTCATGTGCGATTTAAACCTGCTCAAACTTGAGGCTAATAACGCGAAATAGCGAAACCTCATAATTCAAGCCTAACAGACATTTATAAAATTCTCGCTTGTGTCAAACCGCAAAATCATATTAAAGGTGCGATTAAATTTGTGGTATTGCTATTGGTAGGAATGTAATTTGAGGCATTGTTATGAAGATGAGCCAAGCAGCTCTTGCTAATTATACAAAGCTGCGAGCCCTGCGGTGGTAGACCTTAATTTTCACAGAAGCACGTTGTATTATGAACACGTTCACACCACAGTAGAGGGATCACGTGGGGCTCACGTGCTTGATTATTTGCATTGATTCGCAGCTAATTGTAATTCCCTTGATTAATTCTAAACCTCTCTGTCGGGCTACAGTTGGACTGGGTCGCTGTGTACAGAGTATCGTTTCTAATACTCCACATAGATAATAGAATTGAGGGTCGGGGTTAAAATGTGACAGATGAATCGGCTTCAGATGGCGACTTAAATGTTTCTGCGGTTTACAAGATGATGGATTAACGACTAGGCTTGTCTGAAAAGAGATCAGTTAGCTCAATCACGACAATATAATCGATCTACATATAATTCTGAGTCCAGGGTTCGACCAGTGTAACTGACAAAATGGAGGATCATGTATCTGTCTGATGTGTACCCTCCTTGTTACAGAGCATCTCAACCCTTATTATATCTGATTTAAACCCCTATATCTGCTCACAGCATATCACGAGTATCATTAAATGTTGGAATCTAGATCTCTACATTCCAGATAACCAATATCTTGAGTAAATTGTAGTCTGCCTAAAAAGAGCGGGAAGTGGAGGGGAAGAGGGGAGTATCAGTAATCAGGCATGTTGCACTCAGGTTAATAGAGTGTAAATACGGGACCCTTTAGCCATCCTTGATAGGTCGGCCCGGATTAACAAAGTCAGACCCTGCTAATACGGAGGTGTGTATCAGCAAGCTTAGCAAACGTTGGGAACTCTGGAGGTGCTAGATTTGGAGGAGTAATGAGGGGGAGGCCAAACACACAGCTACCCTGTTCACTGGTTTGTGGGTTGCTGTGTGTTTTGTGGTGAGAGTGTCAGGGCCCCTCACTGTATCCAGATCCTTAGCGTATCATAGTAATAATATGTTTACTCAATAAACTCCGTCTAATAAATCCCCCCTTAATGGAGTGCTTCTCAATTTGTGGACTTGTGAACTAGAGTTTATATGAAATTTGAATGTGACGTATTGAAGCATTAGCAAGATGAAAGAATTTCGTCTGATCGCCGTGAACTGGTCTGATTACACTTTTGATAAGCAAAGAGTTTAACATAATATGCCATATTATGCCATCGTGGTTATCTGGACTTGTGAATTTCACTTTTTTACATGTTCAGGGATGAGATGGGCACTAATTTTGTTTATATGCAAGACTTTACATGCACCCTCTCCATAAAACTTACCGCTACGGGCATCACTGCATCTATTTTTCAAGGCTCGGATTCATTCGCCAGAATTATTCGGCCACCATTTTACTATACTCCTATTACAGTGTACACTACCCAAATACTGACCAATAAAAAGCATATAATTGGTGTTCGCGGAATCATCCGATGATGCCATTGTAGTCTCTATTATAATTAGTGGGGCTCTAGTCTCCACAACACAATGCCAAGTATGCTAGGAATCTAGTGGTCATTGCTTGCCCTATCTACTACAAACAAGTAATCCAGGATATTGCTTCTCCCGATTCCGGCCTTTCCATCCTGTCCGGCCATTGGGTCTCAATTTGTCACTCTTACAATACTGTCATTGTCACAACCCAATAACAATAATGGTTATTTCCCAGCCACACCCCTGAATGTCACTGTATACAAACACACACTGGGAGATACTTGTGTTGCACGTTCATAACAAATACACACTAAACACACAGGGGGGTAAAGTACACTGGTGTTTTATTAAACGAGGAGACTTTATATTCCCCAACAAGCAAGCTAGCCACCCGGCCACCTCCGTCCTCTATTTGTCCTCTCAGCAATCCCAGCACCTCATTGGATAACACCGGGTCACGTGGGCAGAATACTGAGCTGGGATTGGCGGGTTGCCAGCCCCCCTCGGAGAGTGGGAGGTTTTGTAAACAAGTTTGCGTGAATGTTCCCCCTGGTCCTGCAGGCTCATTAATTAGGAACCACAACACTGTAGGGGGTGTTAAACAGTTTAGTCTTAATTTCATGTGAATATCGTACATTTGTTGACGTCTTCCGTACACCCCTTATTTTATCTTGCACCATACTGTCCCCTGGGTATCCCTGTGAATTGAATATTGATAAGGAGCTAATCAGACAAATTTTTAATATAAGTCTACATTTTTCGCGACAAGAATGAAATGGCAGGAATTCTTGAAATTGCCCAAATCTCTGATAAGATATAATGTGGAGCGGGACAGCATGCGTCTACATTTGGTATAAAATGTGTACAACATGGTTAACGAACGGAAATCATAATTACATTTCATTAAAGAGCTAATCTGCTGAGTCTAGTTCCCGCCTCGCTTTATACAAATTGGAGGGAGACTTTAAAATATGTGGGAATATTCCTGCGATATTCTGGCGATTGGCTCGAGGTCTTGAAAAAAATGGACATCAGACTGGTTTTGATTATTTCCCAGACAGAATTTCTAATGATTTGTATTTCACAGAAGAAGGATACGTGGTCCGTGTGGGATTGGAAGCAGGATTGACGGGAATAACTCACTACAGCATTGTCAAGACCTCTCCCACCGGTGTGGTTAAATCCCTGTCTATATCAGAGGACACAAACATGCTCTACGCGCTGTCTGATTCGTGGGTGATCAAGATTCCGACTTGGCTCGAGGACGCCTGTCAACATGCTTCAACTTGCAGGTGAGAATTAAATATTGACTTCAAAAACCGTGGTGTCACAGGACCTCTGAACTCGACATTTGTTAACGATTAATAACTATTGACTGAGTGGTAATTCGTGTGTTAATTTGCCATTAAGATTAAACCTAATTAAAGGCCAGAGAATTGCAGAGGTTTCGTTGACCTTGGTCGGTAGTTTCCGTGTCTCGGGGCCTTCACTTTCGATGTGTTGTGGAGCCGACTTGTCTTGAAAGGAAATGTCTTGCACATAAACGGCAGACGCGAACGACGAACAATGGATTTGTGATACATTTTCATTGCTAACGTACTACAAGCGCGCGTTTATTCCGCGCGCCATGTCTTAAACCATGCTTCCCTAAAATTTAAATGTCAAATGCAAGCTCCTTTTCTCCGAACCTTCCTCGATTAGATGTTACCTTCCTTGAACTTACACCGTTGCTTTCAGCGAATGTCTGGATCTATACTACCCGTACTGCAGCTGGTGTAAAACAACTAACGAGATGAGATGTGTCTCCAGACAGTCAGAATGCCTTGTCTCCGATCTGGTCCAACCAACAGAGACTTGCCTTCCTCTACCAACGTAAGTTAAAATTAACAAGAAGATCACTTTTACTAATCGCTTGATTTGAACTATTGGACGTTGCCCGTTTCCATAATTGAGCGGGATAAAAGCACAAAGTGAAATGTTAATTTCTAAATTTAATAACCTCGCTGTTTTGACAGGTTCCGAGATAAGCCTAATGAGCAGACTGTAGCCAGAGGAACTCCGGTGACCCTGATGTGCAGTGGGAGGGATGGTGAGGTCGGGGTCTGGAGACGGGAGGACGGGGCTCCAATCACCAGGAAGGCTGTGGAAACTAAGAGCTATCTCATGATCCCAGCTGTACGTTACTTAACATTCTTCTCTTTTTAAACATTGCGATATAGATTTACTCTGATCATTCATTTTGGTGATTTGATATGATTTTAAACTTTCACACGTTTCTTTCTTAACTTCAACTCTGTTTAATCTAACCAGCCCCTGCTTCCCCCAGGTTGAATTAAGTGATATGGGAACGTACGTGTGTACGCTGAACAACACCAGTGGCCGAGTTTCTGAACAGGGCGCAATAACCGTAACAGAGAAACCGTACTTCACAATGCAACCTGAGAACATCTCAGCGTTTGAGGAGGACATTAATATCGAGCTGCAGTGTCAAGCTGAAGGAAGCCCCCGTCCTACGGTTTGTTATACTTTGTCACCTCATCAGTAAATATCGCTTGTTTAAACATTATAATCTGAATCAAATATTTTCGTTGAACGTAATAAAATAGTAATAACGCGCAAGCAGCTTGTTGTTTGTATATTCTCGCGTATGTACTCGTGAGTCATCCTTAAACGGATCATTTAAACAGATCCAGTGGTTTAAAGAGGGCGCGAACATTCCTGACGGATCGGAGATAACAGAATTAGGTTTTCTAAAAATATATCGCGTTTTGGAGGAGGATGAGGGGAAGTATTGGTGCACAGCTACCAATAGCGAGGGACGGATCACTAGCAAGATCGCACAGCTTCTTATTTCTGGTGAGCAAATAGTTGAAACTACTCCAATTCGCGAATGACGTGATTTAGATAAACTTGGTTAGCCGTTTGAATTCCGTGGAATTAAAGTAAAAAACTGTGATACACTATCCATACTACTTCAGCATTCTTGTTAACATCAAATTAACCGTTACTTTATTCCAGTAGGAGAGATGGTAATCGATGATAGGGAGAAGGCCCCCGCTCAGATCCCTAATATAACCATGGTCGGGATGGTGGTAGCGATTGTTGTCAGTGCTATCATTTGCTTTGTCATTGGTCTTATAGTTCACAATCTTTATCGGAAACATCGCAAGAAGAGGGTAAGTCAGTCTTGAATCTTAAAACTCAGAATTAATATTCAGGTACATATTTTGTCTGTTTGTAAGTTTCTCCTTGAATGAATTTTCCATCAAGACGTTCAAAATTTTTCTCTTCAGGAGTCAGATGTCTCTCAGACACCAGGTGGACACATGTTTGATGGCCGAGTTCAGACCCGCGGGCCCTGGACCCCGGTCAATACTATTCCTTACCAGATGTGTAGACCGGAGGAGTGGAGGGAGAGCGGTATGTTCAGTTGCCCCTACCCCTCTACTCTAATACCTCCTCCACTACCTATGAGATCAGGTCAGCTTGCTCACTCTTACCTCCTTTAAACTGCTCATATCTTCTATGATGTTGACTCTTTTCATGTATTTATCACGATATGTTTTATCATCCTGAAGCTGAAATGTAATGTTATCTATCCCACAGAGCTGCTGACCCAAATGCCGAACATGAACATGGACAGTGCACTGTTAGAAGAAGAAGAAGCTCCTCCAGCTTACGATGACAGAGACAGTCCACCTCTCCTTCCTCCAACCCCCGCCTCTCTACAGGCGCCCATGTGCTTCCCTCCAACTCGCTACACCCCCACCCACTTCAATACTTGCCCAAATCACACGGGGGTGACGTACTGTGGGGTAGCACCCCCTTGTACCACCTCGCACTACACAGCCCTCAACAGCGACTACGCTGTCATTACGCAGTCAGCGCCACAACCCGCTACCTCCTCAAATAGACAATACAGCATGGACCTACGGGCAGACCGGTCCGCGCAGAACCCGAACACTGGACTGCGGGACCAGCCCCCTAGTAGTCGGGGGCACGGCCCCCTTAGCCCGGGATTTGCCAACCATGTCATTTAGTTGAGTTTTTTCTCTGTTTTAGTGCACCATATTGTTCACTTGAGATGCGTTGATTTTGATTTTAAATTGTGGACGATATGTTTTATGAAATGAGATTGACTCGATGAAATTGAGTTTTTTATTTTAAAATAGCATCAGAAAATGTTAATTTTCATTTTTCAGTTCCCATTTTTACATACGTTATTCTTGTGAAGATGAAAGAATCAATTATTTTTGTGCTAGCACTATCTTAAACAATTTAAAGTGCGTACCATTTTTATCTAGCAGTGATCAACACAGCTAACTCTTACAGCCGGGGTCATGTTGGTTTTGCAAACAAATAATTTTTCAGTTTATTGATTTTCAGAGGCAGAAGATAAGTTGAGTTATTTTTTGGATTCATGTTCTTATAACTACGAAAAGGACATTTTGCGGGCATTTTTCCCAACAAATAATTTGAAGTGTACTTAAAGCGAGAAAACTCGGCCACTTCACAACTTTAATTTATTTATAAGTTGACCATCACTTTCGAATAAACCATACATTTTATCAGCAAAACTATATATCGGTTACATTTTTTAATTCATAATGCAATTACAACTTACAAGTTCACTGAATAATGTGTATTTCTACTTTCGCTTTTTGAGTGGTTTCACTGACAATTAAATTGCGATTTTGAGTTTACGGTCTACTATTTTTGCGTTTCCCTTATCACGTAAACGATCAAGTTTTAATCATTTTCTAGATATACCTCGATATTTGAGGGATTTCTATTTATCAGATGTTGTTTTGAAAACTATATATATAAATACAGTATCTTTATACTAGTTCAAACCATTCCGATGAGTGGTATTAAGAACTTACATAGTTTTAAACCTAGGTCACCAAGTGGTACTAGAGCGTATATTATAGGTTTAATTTTAATCTCACAGTGATCGATAGTGGAGATTGCAGTGATCAAATTTCCAAAAGTGCAGCCATGCAATTATTAGAAAATAACCTAGTGGAAATGTTGATCAATGTAGGTATAGTTCCACTGTCTACACATGTGAAAACCACTCTGGGGATTGATTATCTGTCAACAGAGATGTTTGAGAAAAAACGTTGGAATTAAAGTGTTCCATTATTAAGCCTCTTTTTTAACCGGGAGGATATGCTAAGATCTCTACTTTTTCTCTTTACGTTGTATATAACGTTTTGTAAATAATTTGAATTAAATTTTTGTTTTATTTTTAATTCCCACCATGAAGATAAATTGATGATCGCACAATGTGATATCCTGTCATATCTTCATAAATCTGGACAAAAGTTATGAACCTAAGTTGTAAATTCAAATTTTAGAAGTTATCGGCTGTGATGATTTTTGATATCGTATTTGATAGGTTACCTATCAAATACGATATCAAGAATCATCACAGCCGATAACTTCTAAAATTTGAATTTACAACTTTATATTCAACTAGAAAACCCGTGGTCACAGGGAGGAAGCTAATAGTATTTTTTGTTAGTAAGTTTAAATCGCGTAAGTTTAAATCTTTGTATCTTTGGTTGTGACGTATCCGTCACAACCAAAGATACAGCCGATTAAAATGTTGCTCGTACTAAACACAGCGTAATATCAACAAAACCGATCAAAATGACGTTAAAACAATCATTGCACATGCACGTGCGTGTAACAATGGTAACCATGGTAATTACGCAAATTCCTATTTCTCGTCTAATTTGCACGTGGGCGGTCGTACATACAGACATAAAGAATTCTCTGAATAATAATATAGAAGACTAGAAAACCCGTGGTCACAGGGAGGAAGCTAATAGTAATAGTATTCTTTGGTAGTCATTTTTTATCGCATCAAAAAACTATGCGAGTATACAGCCCATTAAAATGTAGCTCTCACTCATCACTGAACACAACGTAATTACCACAAACCGATCAAAATGTCGTAACAACAATTATTGCACGTGCACGTGCGTGTAATAATCCTCGTCACCATGGTTACTATGCAGCTTCCTACTTCTCATCAAATTTGCACGTGGGCGGTCGTACATACATACAGAAATAATTGTTTTATAATTATAACTAGAAAGCCCGTGGTCACCCGTCACAGGGAGGAAGGTAATAGTATTCTTTGGTAGTCAGTTTTTATAGCATCAACAAATATCCGTCACAACCGAAGATTCAGCCGATTAAAATGTATCTCGCACTGAACACAACGTACTTACTACAATTACAAAACCGATCAAAATGCCCCTCTCAAATCCTTGCACGTGCAAGTGCACTTTTGAATATCGTTACCATGGTTACTACGCAACTTCCTATTTCTCGTCTGATTTGCACGTGGGCAGACGTACAGCATGTACAGAAATAATTCTTTGAATTATAGTAGCTAGAGATAGAGATAATTAAACAAATTACAACACCAAAAATCTATTACATTTATGGAGGATGCTATTGCTACAGAAGGAATATAGTAGATAGATATAGTTTCATTGCGTCTTAATATATCACGTAGTCCAAGGAATCCTAATCCTTCTTTCGTCCCAAAGTGTCGTTTCTCTCGTATCCAATATCCAAATCCTGACTGCTTCAAATTATCCACATTTCCTTCTCAGTTCTCCTCTCCTGTCTTATCTGGTAATTTGGATCATGTTGTAGTTTGAATGTCGGATCATATCTCGTCATAAACTGGATCAGGTTCCGGACTGCGTAGAGCCAGTTTAACAGCACTATCGTCCACCTCAGGGTCGTTAGCCACCTCAATCAGGGCAGTGAGCTTGCTGTTATCTAGCGCTGTCATCCTATCCACCTGGCCCTGGCTCTGTGAAGTGGGAAGGGGAGTTATTTACCTCGGCATTTCCTAGCCACTTCTTGGTTCCACTCTGTGAGATAGAGGACCACTTTTTAAGTCAGAAAATATCAATTTATCTTTAGGATAGATTAGCAATCGTTTATGGGACGGGTGGATGATTTGATAGTGATTCAACTTTATTTAATTGTGATTTAATAATTATATCGTGTTACATATTAATGTTATTCTTAAAAAGCAGGGATAGTTTGTAAATATTAAAACTTTTAAGAAAGTTAGCATGTTACTTACCGGTTTTTGAATTTTAGCTTGCTTCTTTTGTACTCTCTTCCTCAAAGCTAAGAATACCACCAAGAGGAATAACAAAGTAAATATCACTATAAACGCTATGATTCCGCCAGATAGCCCACCACTGCAATCTGAAAGTGAAACAACAATGTTTGAGATTATAGGGCTACGCTAACCTTAGTCTCTTACTCTAAGTCTACGCGTAAGTCAAAGTGGTAAGGTCAAGACAACAATTCGCGAATGACTCTCAAGATACATGACATAACTTCAAAGTTGAATAACAATCTGTAACAACTTACGTTCCTCATTTCTGATAGTCATCGTCTCCGTAAAAACAGGGGTTTGACAAATCTCGCCCTTACTGGTAGCCTCTCTGTAAGTGAATGTCGTCGTACAGTCACATGTATCGAGAGGGGTCTGTACGATAAATACACTTTTCGTGGAGTTGTCAGCTTTGTTGCCCCCTTCGCAGGTAGTGGTTCCCCAGAACTGACCGTTTCCCTAGTGGCTCTGAATTGTGGTTAAATGTTTTATTGCGAATACAAAATCGTCACCAATTAAATGCCAATCGTTGAACAGAATATCAAATATATCCTCTTCGCTATCATAGCATTTGAATTATAGGGATGGAAACAGAAAAGAGCAATCGTGCTACATGAAGCTCTTAAAGTTAAACTTACTGTTTCTAGTTACAGAGTGCACAAAATCTATTTTGTCGGTACAATCATCAAGCAAGGATTTGGAGCAATTGGCATCTGTCCTCTCAATATTGACAACTTTGTTAACCTCATAAACTTGAACTCCCGTTTTATCACAATCAGTTGAGGCTGAGCACTTCAAACTACAACTAGAAACAAACCAACAATGGTCGTTACTCTGCCACTTGGCTGTCACCATCCCCGTCCCCGCTGAAGACTTGATCTTCTGGGTGGAGGACCCGGTGCAGGAAACTTCCAGAATACTTTCTACTTCCACTTCCGGCTCGGCGTTTCCCGAACACGAGAAAGTCGCGTACTCGTTGGATTTTATCTGAGATTCGGTAGATTTTGATTTAACACATCACCTCTTAAATGTTTAACTTTAAGTAAAACTAGTTTTTGTTACTATGTTGCTGTTAGATACTTTACATCCCAGCATTTGTCGATGTTATATTAATTATGCGTTTTCTATGCAATATGAATAAACCTAAAACATACCGTACCAGTAGATGATGAATACACTTAAAACTTAAATAGATATTCATAAATCACTCACAATAAAATTAGTTCCGTTAACTTTAGTAAAGGCTCCTGTGACCTCTAAGTTTGAAGTAACCTCCCCAGTACACTTTGCGCTCAGTGAAACATTATACTGACTCAACCAGCAAACCAACCAAAACAAAATCATTTCCCCACGAGAGCTTTAACTCTTCACATCAGTTATTAGCTATAGTGGATAAGGTTTCAAGTTGTGGTCCTCTTGTAGGTGTCCTGTGCAAATTATACTTTTTGATAAACGCAAACTAAGCGGTAAAGACATATGTATAATACAATTGTAAGTGTAAGTTAAACGTAATGTAGTTCAACGCATCCTGATAGGTTTACATTCATTGCATTTACAAAACATACAACCTGTCAAATCTCTAAAATACTCTAACTGCTACTGGACTGGACTGGACTGGACTGGACTGGACTGGACTGGACTGGACTGGACTGGACTGGACTGGACTGGACTGGACTGGACTGGACTGGACTGGACTGGACTGGACTGGACTGGACTGGACTGGACTGGACTGGACTGGACTGGACTGGACTGGACTGGACTGGACTGGACTGGACTGGACTGGACTGGACTGGACTGGACTGGACTGGACTGGACTGGACTGGACTGGACTGGACTGGACTGGACTGGACTGGACTGGACTGGACTGGACTGGACTGGACTGGACTGGACTGGACTGGACTGGACTGGACTGGACTGGACTGGACTGGACTGGACTGGACTGGACTGGACTGGACTGGACTGGACTGGACTGGACTGGACTGGACTGGACTGGACTGGACTGGACTGGACTGGACTGGACTGGACTGGACTGGACTGGACTGGACTGGACTGGACTGGACTGGACTGGACTGGACTGGACTGGACTGGACTGGACTGGACTGGACTGGACTGGACTGGACTGGACTGGACTGGACTGGACTGGACTGGACTGGACTGGACTGGACTGGACTGGACTGGACTGGACTGGACTGGACTGGACTGGACTGGACTGGACTGGACTGGACTGGACTGGACTGGACTGGACTGGACTGGACTGGACTGGACTGGACTGGACTGGACTGGACTTTTGGGAAAGCACTTCAATTATCAAACCAAATGTGTCTGGAAATTGTGGAGTTCCTAGTTCAAAACGTTCTCACTTAGGGAATGGCGTGCTACACTCTATATGATCGATAAAATTTTCAGGAAATTTTCAGGAAATTTTCAGGAAATTTTCAGGAAATCTAATTTTGACCCAAATAATGTATATTCTATGAAATTGTAAAGCAATTCTGGTATGAATTACGTGAGGTCGTGAGTTATTAGAGTTGCGTGTGGGTAGTCATTTCTATGTATTCTTACAATATAGTCATACTAATTGACCCCCGACAATTGACCCCCCGACAATTGACCCCCTATGTAATTACTCTGGGGTCGACTGTCGCGAAATCTAGGGTTTAGTACGACAATTGACCCCCCCCCCCCCCCCCGTCAGGGTCAGGGTCAGGGTCAGGGTCAGGGTCAGGGTCAGGGTCAGGGTCAGGGTCAGGGTCAGGGTCAGGGTCAGGGTCAGGGTCAGGGTCAGGGTCAGGGTCAGGGTCAGGGTCAGGGTCAGGGTCAGGGTCAGGGTCAGGGTCAGGGTCAGGGTCAGGGTCAGGGTCAGGGTCAGGGTCAGGGTCAGGGTCAGGGTCAGGGTCAGGGTCAGGGTCAGGGTCAGGGTCAGGGTCAGGGTCAGGGTCAGGGTCAGGGTCAGGGTCAGGGTCAGGGTCAGGGTCAGGGTCAGGGTCAGGGTCAGGGTCAGGGTCAGGGTCAGGGTCAGGGTCAGGGTCAGGGTCAGGGTCAGGGTCAGGGTCAGGGTCAGGGTCAGGGTCAGG